GCTCTCCATTTGGGGAGGTGACTGAGGGAAGGCTGGGGACCCCTGGCTAGAAGGAGATTATAAGGAGGACAAGGGGGCCCTTTTAGTCCCTTCCCAGCTCTGAGAGTTAACTCTTTTGGTTCAAGCTGGTTGCCACATGCCCTCGTAGATGGAAAGCCAGGCATCCCTGGGCTGGTGAGAAGATGATGTCTGCAGGCGTTACCTGTGAACCAGGTGTTCTGCCCATGTTGGGCTCTGCAGAGACGCAGCATGTGTGGGAGGCATTTCTCACCACCGGGGCCCTGGCTGGCTCCAGGTAGCCACGGCTGAGGGTCTTCTGTGAGTGCATGAGACGAACACTCCCATTTCATTGATGAGGAAACTGGCCCTGCACCTGAGCCTCTTGGTGAGGTAAACCTGGAAGATGGCAAGTTGGAATGGGGAACTTGGCAGTGTCAGTGGCAATAGTGTTTGATTTTTAGATTGCATTTACCTTGAAACATATCTGCAAGCTTTGAGGGTGGGGTTGAGGGCTGAGCTTTTCTCCTGGGCCAAACTGCTACTTTGTGGGAAGGTTCTGCCCAGTGTCCCTCCGGCCCTCCTTAAGTTTTTATAGAACTCTGCCATCTATCCACGGCCTGGTCAGACTGTTCGATGCCATTTGGCAGGTGATGAAGCCCAGGAAAGGCAGCAGGTGCGAGATTCCTAAATGTGAGTGCATTGCACTGGCAACTCTTGTGCCAGGAGGCTCCTCCTCTAATTTGAGAGATACTCAGAGACTCTGCATAAACCTTGAACTCGTCTCCTAAATGCCATGGGCTGAGCCCATTGCCACTGCTGTCACCAACAATCTGAGGACCTGGGTTTTAATTTGTAGGAGGCAGAGGCAGGACAAGGGAATTGCTTTGAGACTCATGAAGTCATACAGACAAAACCACAAATAAGGGACTCCAGTTGGCAAAAAACAAATTGCTTCAAGACTATTCTTGGAAACTAAAGCATCACATCTTGTTTCTTCCCAGAAAATGCATAAACCTTTTATATTTCTGGTTAGTTGGTTTTATTTATATTTCATATCAAACTCCAAAAAGGCAACAGCTGGGTGGTGGTTGACAAGGAAAATTTTAACAGAGCTATTACCTAAGATCTTCTGACTTAGCTAATCCTCGACCTTCTCCTTTTGGGAAAAGAGAAGGGGACCCACCAACAATATTATACCCCAGTTTCTAGAAGAAAAGGCTTGAAGCTCAGACTCAGACTGAATCCTTCTAAGACAGCCTTTCTAGTTAACAAAACCACTTTGTACCATGTGTGTTTTCAATTCATTGCCCAAACTTCCTTCTATGAGGTCCCCCATTGTAAATATGGGGAACTTAAAACTCAGCAGTTAAATGAGGTGTCCAAGGTGACACAGCTAGGAGTAGTTTTGAACCCAGTTCTGAATTAAAAGCCCAGAGCCTCTAAAGTACATTATTCCTGAACCTGAGAAGCTAGTCCCAGTGGTCGTAAATTGCGTTCTTTTTTATCTTCCTTTTGGTTTGATGAGATTTGGGCCGTTTGAAGAATAATGTGAATGCTTGTTATCATGTAGCCACCAAGTATTGAATTTATTACCTACATGATTGAATTTAATCCTTAGAATCCTAGGAAGTGAGTATTATTATCCCCATTTTACAGATGAAAACACAGACTGAAATGGATTAGATAACCTGCCAAGGGTCACACAGCTGACAAATGCCTGGGGCCAGATTCACGCCCAGGTTCGCTAGATTCTAAATATTCTGATGTTTTCCTGCGAGGAAGCCTACCTTGTGTGGGTGTTAGAGTCATTGTTACAGTCCTTGACTTACATTGGAAAGCTGATTTTAAAGGTTGAGACTAGACCCTTTAGATCGAGGGAGGCAGGTCTGAGCCTGGTACGGGCTGTGGGGTACAGTCCAAGGCAACACTTATCTTCTCCTGTCTGGCTGTCTCCCTCCGCCTCCTTTATCTCACTCTAGATAAGAGCTAGTTCCTGGAGCTCCCACGCCCACCCAGCGCCCTCAGCACCACCTTTGGCTCTTTCTACTGGAGCCCTAAGATTAAGTTATTCATTTTTCTTTTGGGGGAGGAGGGGAGGCAGCTGGGGTTGGGAAGAGACAGGTTCTTCCAGTTTGTAAATGTTTCTCTGGCAGTCAGGTCTGGCTCTATACCTCTAAACAGTTCACCATTTTAGACGAGGAGTTGGCAACGTGTAAATTGATTTACAAAACTGTTTTTCAAACTGGTGTGTTCCCCAGATACAAACCTGCCCCATGTGATAGATACAGTGTGCATTTCCACATCTACTCTGTGCCGCCGAGGGCCAGGCTCTGCTCTCACACGTGTCTCTCGCCCTTCACAGCAACCCTGCAAGGTGCAGATTATCACCCACTTCTCACAAAAAAAAGAAAGAAAGAAAGAAACTGAGGCTCAGAACTTATGTGGCTTGCGTGAGGCCATATGGGAAGTGAGGAGCTGAGCTGAGCTTTGGACTTGGCCTCCAAAAGCCCCAAAGCCTGTGTTTTTCTTTGTCCCACCTGCTCATCCTCAAAAGGACTTCAGGATACTAGTTGAATTCAAGTAGCTTTGTATTTGTCAATCAGCTACTATAGCCTTTGTTCAATCCTGGGCAGAGAAGTGGTTCCAAAGATAAATACTTAGGATATTGATATGCTCTGGAAAACAAACAGGTCTTGCTCTCCATGGTAGGAAGTCTTGCATGGGGGTAGAGGGGTGAGGAGATGGGGTTGAAACACAGTAGGAGGCCGTGTTTTTGTGAGTGATGCCACAATGAGCACTGCGGACAATCAAGAAGCTGAGAGAGCATCTGTGAGGGGCTCCATGTCTTATCAATGCCAGGCCAAGCTCAGAGCTAGTCTTCCAAGTCTGTTGAATTTGTTGAGTTGCAGGGACCAGGGCAACCAGGTAAGTTCTCATGGAGGATGGAGGCCCGGTGGAGGAATAGAACTTGGCTAGGTCTAGAACAGGAATTGCGCCGTTCTCCCTTCAGCTGACTATTGGCAGTTGTCAGAGAAAGAGGGAAGAGAGGGGTCCTATACTGTGCCCCCTCACGCATCGGTATCTAGGTGTCTGGTGTCTGGAGAGCTTGTCTTCCTTCCCCCAGCAGGCTGCTCCTTATGGGTGGTGCTCAGCCAGGCTGCCATGCAACATTCACCTGTGAGCTTTTCCCCTTGCTCTCCCAGCTACTTTCCTCATTGTTACCTGGGCAGCCCCTTAGCTGCCTCCTTCTCCAGTCCATCCTCTGCTAGCTCGCCTTCCCCAAAGATTTGTCTTAGCTGCTGCATTGTCTTCTGTACCCCACAGCCCATTGGAGAAACCAGGCCCCCTCCACAATTTGCACATCCCCACCACACCTTGTCATAAGTCTTTAGTTCCTGACACCTTGAATTCGCTGTCATTCTACAACTTGTCCTGGCTCTTTCCAGACTCACGCCTTTGTATGGTGTTTCCTTTGCCTGAACATTCATTTCTCAGTCTCCTAATGAAATCCACTTCGTTCCTAAAATTGTCACATTTTGGCATTTCCTTCTCATGATGCCTCTGGACTCCTTTAGACTCTGCATGCACTCTGAGCTTGCATGCCCCATGTTCATATTCTGCAAGTGCTCTCCTGTTGTCTTGACGCCTCTGGACTCCTTTAGACTCTGCTGTGCACTTACTCTGAGCTTGCATGCCCCGTGTTCATATTCTGCAAGTGCTCTCCTGTTGTCTTGGAATCAGCTCTTTATGGGTCTGGGTCTATCTTCCTCACCAGGCCCCATCTCTGTATCCCCAGCACCTAGGGTGATGTGCAGCTCTTGCTAAGACACTAGTAATTGTTGCTGAATGAATGAGTAAAGGATTGAGGGAGAAGATAAACACTGGGCTCTGCTTTTAGTATTATAAAGCCAGTCCGCAATCCAAATACACCCATAATAGTGTTCCCATCTGGGGAGTGGGAAGCCACCCAGCCTGAGGGCCTTGTCTCTGTGTTTGCTGACCACCTCCTGCCCGACCTCGATGTGCCGTATCCTCTCATTTACAGACTCTCGCCTTCCTGACAGCTGGGCCAGCCCCAGCTTCTCCATACTTGTCTTCTTGCACTAGCTTTGGATTTTGGAAAAATAGCCAGTGCTTTGGAAAATCAGCTCTAATTTTGTTTTTGTTCCTTTGAAACTTAAATGACTCTGCTAAGAAATGCCTGAGGTTAGAGCGGTGCAAAGGGAAAGGACGATGGCCAAAACCCAGGCAAGCTATTTTTGTGATGTGAATGAACACCCATTGCATTTTTCTTCCACCAGCCTAAGCACTTGTTCCAAATAGCTCACAGCCTGGGCTTACAAAGCACAGGCTCCTTTCATACATCAGGAGGAGACCCACGTGTCTCTGTCTTTCTCTGTGTCTGATGGAGGTAGATGCTGTGCTTTCAGCAGATACCAGGAATAGAAGTTTTAAGAAGCTGTTGTCTGTTGCCTGTATAAGGGAAAGACCTACCCTCTGGTAACCAACAATGAAAAAAGACTGAAAGATTGACGTCCAATGATAGGTGAGATGGTCATGAAACCTAGGGAGGCATGTGCTTGTTTCGTTGGTCTGTGTACTAATATCATGTGGCTGGGTTACATTAGATTAGTCAATGAATTTGCAAAGAATTTGCCAAGAACTATAGGTTTTTAATGCTGCTCAATCTAGAGTGCTTTTCTGTTTTTTCTCTTTTTTTAGTTACTATTTCTAGAAGCATCTGGCTCATAGCAAAATTGACCAGGTAATGTTGACATCAGCCAGGGCATGACGTGGAGCAATTTGTGGTTCTCTTTAGCCAGCAAGAGGAGTTGGGTGTTGGGGAGCAAGAGATTGCCAGCAAGGTGGCACTGACAGGTTAGAATTGCACATTTTCTATGGATTATTTGTGTTTAGTATTATGTATAGTATCTTAAAGGACTTTATTTTTCCCTTGCCCCACCCTTGGAGCTCACCTCTGCCTCGACCTATCTTTGCAGGTGTGACATTTCTCCAGGTACTTCATGGTGTCCTCCTCCGTCTTCTCCACACGTCTGCTCCACGTGGCTCCTGAAACATGGGGGAAAACGAGGACGAGAAGCAGACCCAGGCCGGGCAGGTTTTCGAGAACTTCGTCCAGGCTTCCACATGCAAAGGCACCCTCCAGGCCTTCAACATCCTCACTCGACACCTGGACCTAGACCCTCTGGACCACAGAAACTTTTATTCCAAGCTCAAGTCCAAGGTGACTACCTGGAAGGCCAAAGCCCTGTGGTACAAATTGGACAAGCGTGGATCCCACAAAGAATATAAGCGAGGGAAGTCGTGTATGAACACCAAGGTAAGGGAACCCCCGTGTGGACATCCGTTACCCTTGTTGAGGGTGTAGGGAGTTGTCGCCGTTTTGACATTCTAAGGTTCTTAACAGGTGTAGGTATGTTTCGACGTCTTGCTCAGTCGAACGTTTTCTTTGTATGTGCACCGCTTATCCTGTTTGGGAGTTTCCATCTTAACGCAGTGGTCTCAGCAATTCTCCTTGTGCCCTCTCCGAGACAGAGAAAAGAAAGGCATGCTGATGTTATCCTGCTTCTGCTATTGCTACTGCCGCTACTACTTCTAGTAGTTACTATTTATTGACCAACTTCTGTGCGCTATGCACTCTATGTACATGGTTTCACTGAACACCCACAGTGGTCCATTGGGCCATTTTAGAGATATGAAAACTGAAAAGTCAGTTATCTTGCCCAAAGTCACACAATTAGAAGACAACCTTGGTCTGCCAGATTCCATGGTGAGGCATAAATTCCATAGCATTGTGTTCCCCTGGGAGCAAACATTTTAGAAAGGTCCCTGGCTTTAACTGGCTATGATAGAGGTCTTTGGTCCTTACTGCCTTTTCCTCCCTCTCTCTCTCTTCCTCCACATTCTCCACCTCCCCACCCCCTTCCCCAGGATGCATTTTCTCTCATGATCGTGCTTATAATTAACCCTCCACAAGCTGATTACTTCCCCCATTGTTTGGCCTCAGGCAACATCTGTGAACATGGGCTGACCAGCACATCACATCTCTGATATCTCTGCAGTCCGTGCCCATCGCTGAAGGGGCAACCAGTAGTCAAGACTTCCTGGCTGGGCCTTGAGTGCTGTCAGCCCTGGGCACTGGTCCAGGCTGTATGTTTAGGTTAAAATTGAGCGTGCTGTATTTAGACCTCACAGGAGATAGCTCGGCCAGAGCCCTTGGAATTCTAGTCAGTGCCAATCCCAGACAAGAGGATTGAACTCTCCATGGCGATCAGGACTGTTGTGTGTTTGTTTTGGTGAGGAGGAGCTGTTGAATCCACCGTGGGATACGGCTGCTTTCTCTTGCCCCCAGGGGAGACAGCTGCCAAGCTTATTTGAGCCTGGGATGCACAATTGTATGGGGCATGGGAAGAGCATGGAGCATGCACCAGAGTGAAAGAAACCAATCGCTTCAGTCCAGAGCATACTAGCCATTCTGGCAGTGCCTGCCCATAACCTGCCAAGCTTCAGCCTTCCACAGAGGAGATGGAAGTGCTAAAGAAAAAGAGGGAGAGCAAGGAGTGGTGCCAGTATCCTAGGTGCCACCCCCACCCAGCACCTCACTTCCTAGTTGTTGTAAATGTGGTTCATAGTTCACTGGGCGGCTCTTCTGACTTAGAGGAGGGGGAAGCTTTTAGCTTTAAAAGCATTACCCTTCTCAGTAATTGCATAAGGTGGCTTTCTTTTAACAGAGTCCCATAGAAGTCATGTGGCTGAACTGCAATATGTTTTCTCAGGGAAGGTTTTCAGGTCTTATTAGGAAATGCATTGCCCCAGACACTCAACAGCTTCTAGTTGCTGAGGGGACTCTCCTGGCAATCTGAAGACAGACCTTCAGAGGGAGTCAGCCAGCAGGGAGATGGAATGGGGGCCTGACCACCATGTAAATGTCCTTCTTTCAAAAATCACTAGCTGGTTTCCTAGCCTGTTTGGCCAGCCCCTATTTTACAAAATTTGATGGCTTGAAATAGAAGAGACCTCACATCCTGTGGTTGGCAGGTCACCATTGGTGCCCGAGATACAAAGAGAAAGAACAAACGTCTTGATCTAGTGATGCTGACTGAATAAGAGTGACTCTTCCCCAGGATTTTTATGCCTTTCTTAGGAGGAGGAACAAAGACATTTTCAATGTGTGGTAGCCCATCTCATAAAAACTAGCTGAAGAGTAAAAAATGCACTTGAAAATGCACTCTTAGTACAGTCATGCTGTGTTAGGCCACTTTAGCTGCTCCAACTAACCTAAAGGAAACAGAGAAATCAGAAACGTATAAACAGGAAGGTCTAGACACTCAGTATGTTTCATCCCCTATCCCATCTATCTCGTGGATGTTTAGTTCTGTGTTGGCACTATTCTTCCCTCCTGCAAGGAGATTTTCTCCAGATTGTTAGCCTCTAATTCATATCTTTATAGCTCTGTGACCCAAAAGGCTAGAATCTTTCTCTGCCTGCTCAATATTGGGGTCGGGGGCAGGGGGATGGGGCGGAGCAAACAAACCTCAGGGAATGATTCCGATAGGTTCACCTCTACACAAGTTATTGTGGCCAAAGCCAGGGGAGCTAGCTACTGTCTTTGGCGCCCTTTTAAGCATCACATGATTGATGTGAGAGAGGAGCAGGTCCCCAGGGACATGAAGGTGAGAAACAGATAAACAACAGGTGTCTTCTACAGTGACTGTTTATTTGCATTCCGCTTATGGTACAGGCTCTTTCCATACTGGATTCACGTGGATGGTTAGTGCTCAGATCTAAGAGCTCAGTGCTTATACTCTTTGAGTCAGTCAAGCAAAACACAGAATGCGGTCCTCCTGCTCTTCCAACATGAGCAGACACTATCTTGCTCACACCCCTCATTTGGGTGTAGTCATTTATGCTGAGTATTAACCAAACAAGAAATGCTGGGCATTAGTGTACACATGGCTGATCATTAATGCTATGCCATGGAACACAGGTGTATTTCCCAGGCACATAGCCAAGCTCCTGGTTAGCCACAGGTAGAGTGAGGATGAACAAAATTCAACCAAGGACTCCCACCTTGTGCTAATGTGGACACATCTCAGCACCATCTGGAGTGGATCTGGGCTTCAGCATTTCATAAACATTTATCAACCCCTACTATGTGCTAAGCACTGTGCTGTTCCCTGAGAGAGAGAGAATATGTGTGTGTGGCTGTGTGTTCATGTTGGTGGTGTTAGTGGGGACAGATTAATGACCAGAATCTGAAGAAAAAGGCCTCTGGTACAGGTGCTGGGGAACAGGGAGAAGGACCTGCAATGTCACTAGAGCAGTGACTTAGGTGCCATTTGCAAAACCTAACTTGAGATCATTGTTTATTATTGATTATTATTTATGAAGGTTTTGTCAGGCACTTAATAATTCTTTCCTTGAGTGTGATCCGTGTGGGTAAGAATGGTGTGAACCAAGGATCAGTCCAAATCGATTCTCTCAGGACTGATATTGCCTCTGTATTAGGGTAGTAACAGGATCAAATGCTGCATCCAGTTGTGTAATGTTCCTGGGGAAAGCAACCCCGAAGAAAATGCAGTACGTAATTTGGTATGGGATACCATAATCACAAAATCATGGAGTCTGGTTATTTATTTTATATGTACCTTTAATGCTAAAGGAATTCGAGGGAATATGGTGTACAATCTCTGCATTTGACACGTGACGAACAGAGTCTCAGCAAGCTAAAGCTATTTGGCTGGAACTAGTGGGTGATATTGCTAGGATTTGGGCTCTGTTTATTGGGTTGCTCATATATTCTTCTGTTCCTTCATTCATTAGATATTTCCAGGTGCGTACACTCTTCTCCAGGAGTATATGTGACTGGGGTAGTCTGGGAATGCTTCTTGGAAGAGGAGGTATGATTTAGAGTTCGACAGAGGAGTAGGAATTTGCCTCGTATTGCTGAAAGAAGAGTTAGAGGAAACACAAGGCAGAGAGAGATAATCTAGGAAGCGCGCATTGCTTATGAAATGGGAATGTGGGAATGAGTGAGAGGGTGAGAGCCAGAGAGAGCAGAATGGATGAATGGCAGGAGCAGACCAGAAGGAAAGGCCTTCTGAGGCCAGGCTGTGAAGAGAGGGTCCTACGTTCAAACGGAGAACCTGGAAGACTAGGACCTGGAGGACTATCGAGGATGAGCCCCAATTCCCAATCCAGAGTTCTCTCCATCACCCTCCTTGGAATGGCTTAGTAATTACAAATAACCAATTCAGGTCAGAAGGCATTCATACATCATTGCCATAAAAACATGTGTGCAGGAAATGAGTCATGGACTTTTGTCACCAGCAGAAATAGGGCTAGCCCGTATGATGAAGGCTCTTACATTAACTTCTGAAAAGGAAATGACAGTATTTTGGGAGCATCCAGCAGAGTCAGCCCACACCTTTCACTCCAGAACGTGACCCTTGCCCATTTTTGCCTCTCCCGTGGCTCTCCAGTTAGGCGTAGCCGGGCCCTGGAAATGCCTGGGCCCAACTCATTATGAGGTTCCTGAGCTGCACAGTGGGAGGCAGAGAGGTAGGGTGGGAGATTGGGAAGGGTGAAGCTGGGAGCAGAAGGCTGCTATCTCCTGGCCTAGATAAGCCTATCTGACATTCCGGACCTCTGAAATCACCCACCACAGCCCCCAAAGCCAGGCTCTGTTGCACCGGCTAGGCCATGCCAAGTACTGCTTTGCCTAATATGGGCAGTTGCAGACAAAACCAGTAGAGCAGAGGATGGTCTCTGGGGTATGAAATTCTGTCCCAGTTGAACAAAAAACTTGGCTGAACTCTGCATTTGTCCATTTACCTGACAAAGGACTCCGGGCACTGCTACATCAGACATGGTCAAGCGTAGATTGCCAATCAGGTTATGTTAATTTCTACACTGTTGCCACAACTCCACATGGAGTATGTGGGATTTGCATGAATTTGTGCATTGGATGTTATATATGAGCTTAAGTAAAATCAATTCCCAAAAATATTAAGCTGAGTTGAAAAAAAACTCTTTTTTTCCTGTCTTCATAGGAAGTGGTTAACCTGGGTACACGGTAGTTCATTTCATAAATAAAGACCTCTTTTTTTTTTTTTTTTAAAGAAAAATAACTAGTTTTATTTAATTAAAAAAGAAATGCATGCTCATGATTGAAAAATAATTCAAGCAGGACAACAAAATATACTGTGAAAAGAAATGTGTTTTCTTCAGGCCCACTGGTCCCCTCCCTGGAGGCCACCACTGTCCCATTGCCTGTGTACCTTTCTTGAAAGTTTCTGCATGTGTATATGTGTGTGTGCA